TTTTTTGAGACGTCTCGCTCTGTCGCCCAGGCTGGAGTTCAGAGGCGATCTTGGCTCACTGCAACCTCTACCCCCCAAGGTTTAAGCAATTCTCCTGTCTCAGCCTCTCGAGTAGCTGGGATTACAGGTACATACCACCATGTCCAGCTAATTTTTGTATTTTTAGTAGAGATGGGGTTTCGCCATGTTGGCCATGCTGGTTTTGAACGCCTGACCTCAAGTGATACGCCTGCGTCGGCCTCCCAAAGTGCTGGGATTACAGGCATGAGCCACTGTGTCTGGAAGGAAACTTCTCTTTACAGAAGTAACCCAGCTAAATGAGTGAAGGAATAACAGAATTACATCACTATTTTTGTAACTTTTTTTTGTGGTGGTTGTTGTTGTTGAGACAGTTTCACTCTTGTTGCTCAGGCTACAGTGCAATGGCACAGTCTCGGCTCATTGCAACCTCTGCCTGCCAGGTTCAAGGGATTCTCCTGCCTCAGCCTCCCGAGTACCTGAGATTACAGGCATGTGCCACCATGTTTGGCTAATTTTGTTTTAGTAGTGATGGGATTTCTCCATGTTGGTCAGGCTGGTCTTGAACTCTTGAGCTCAGGTGATCCGCCTGCCTCAGCTTCCCAAAGGGCTGGGATTATAGGAGTGAGCCACTGAGCCCAGCCTTATTTTTGTAACCTTAATGAAACAATGGACTAGGCTGGGATCATTAGTGATTGATAAAATCTCAAAAAGAACGACAACTAGACTTTATGTTGTCCCTTGGTGGAAGAACACAATACCATCCATAAAGCGTTGTTGACAAAAAGAAAAACTAAACCTAAATCAGATCAAATCTCTAGATGAAACTACTAATTTATGGAGTGGGAAGGGGAGCTAAAAAATGTTTAAATAACAATGCAGACTGAGGGAAATTCTAGAGGACAAATGACCCAGTTTTTTCAAGAAATATTAATTGTAATAGAAAAAAGACAGATGTGTATGTGGGTATTCATTACATAATTATTTTATTTACATGGATGTCTGAAATTTCTCATGACAAAAGATTTAAAAGAATTGTGGAAATGTATAAAGTTTTTAGCATATACTCAAAATGACAGTCAAAGAAATGATGTTATATAAAAAACTATGCATTTCATTTTACACATTTGAGATTAATACCTACTTTGGAGCATGCCTGTAATTGGTTTCCCATAACTTCTAACCGTGATAAGAGTCTATCTTCATCTATTAAAGCCTATTGAAGAAAAATTAAACATAAGTAAAACCCGAGTAATTATAAAGTCACATGTATATAAAAAAAGGTTGCTACTGACAACAGAAGATATAAAAGCATAAAACTGACCAGCATCCACTGTAAAATGATAAATTTTCAATAACTTGTTCATTAGTTAGGAAATAACTTTGTCTTTGTTTGCTACATTTTAGTTTATTTAACATGTATGGAATATTAAACTATGTTTAAATGTTTCTTAAATATAAAACAACTGGAATACCTGCCAACTGGTATCTGAAGCCTCTTGGGTGATGGCTAGTAGCCGCTGAAGCGTGGCTAACTTCTGTTCCAACATTTGTTCCCGATGTAAGGCCTCCTAGTATTACAAATCACAAAAGAGATTCCAATAAGCTCATCATGATTCTTTTGAGGAGTGATCAATTTTTAGCACATTCTAAAATATTTTCATATCACATCCCCCTTGATGTATTTTAAAGTATGTGACACTTGATAGTACTTAGTAAAATATACAGCAGTCCCTGTTTATCTCTGGTTTCCCTTTCCAGTTTCAGTTATAGTGCAGTACAAGATACACTGAGAGAGACAGACAGAATGTTGACATTCACATAACTTTTATTCACGTAACAGTATACTGTTGTAATTGTTCTATTATTATTGTTAATTTCTTACTATGCTTAATTTATAAGTTAAACTTTATCATAGGTATGTGTATATATAGGAAAAAACATAGTAGATACAGAGTTTGGCACTATCTGTGATTTCAGGCATCTACTGGGGGTCATGGAACATATTCCCTGCAAATAGGAAATGACTACTTTATGTATATGGGCCACATCATTTTAGTCTCATTTGTTGAGCTGAAAGTACCGCCATTAGAGGTTCTCTAACTGCAACTTCTCCCCTAATAGAAAACAAGTCACCTGTTTTTGTTTTCTTTTTACGCATAATTTGGAAAAGCAAGTTTTTAAAAACATACAATAGAAAAAGCTAATACACAGTGTGTATGTAGACATATACCTATACATACACACACACATATACAAGTCATGCACCACAAAACAACATTTCAGTCAACTACAGACTGCATATACACAGTAGTCCCAAAAAATTATAATGAAGCTGAAAAATTTCTGTCGCTTAGTGACATCATAGCCATCCTAACACTGTAACACAAGGGGGCATTACTCATGTGTTTGAGATGTTGGTGTAAACAAACCTACTGTGCTGCCAGTTATATAAAAGTATAGCACATATAATTATATATAGTACATAATACATAATAGTATTATATGACTGTTATTAGTTTATGCATGTACTATACTTTTTATTGTTAATTATATATTCCTTCTGCTTACTAAAAAGAAAAAAAGGTTAACTGTAAAATACCTTCAGAGAGGTCCTTTAGGAGGTATCCTGAAGAAGGCACTGTTATCACAGGAGATGACAGCTCCATGCATGTTACTGCCCCTGGAGACCTTTCAGTGGGATAGGATGTGGAGGTGGAAGAGAGTGATACTGATGATCTTGATATTGTGTAGGCCTAGGCTAACGTGTGTGTTTATGTCTTCATTTATAACAAAAAAGTTTAAAAAGTAAAAACAAGTTTAAAACATTTTTAATAAAAAGCTTATAATTTAAGAATAGAAACAAAA